AACGTACGGGGGGGGCTAGGGGGGATGTGTGGTTCTGAGGGGATGGGACCCATAGGATGGGGGAGTAACATGGGGGGCATGGGGATGGGGGATGCATGGGGGGCTGGGGGGTAACGTAACGGTGGGACCCATGGGACGGGGCCTGGAGGGTAACACGAGGGGGTGGCCTGGCTGGCAGAGCCAAGTGTGAGTTGTTGGCCAAGCCTGGGGCAGGCCACTGGGTCTCTGCCAGCTCTTGGGGCGCAGCTGCACCGATTCGTAACAGGTGCCCACTTGCCTGGTGGGTGTGACGCTGGGACCCAGCCCATCAGCTGGCGGGGCCAGGTTGGAGGCTGCCTGCCTAGGGGACATGGCAGAGAATAGACGGGGGGATGTTAGATCCCATCCCTAATGTCTTCTTCCCTGAACGAAGCCAGGCTCCGCATTCTAAGCGCAGTGTCTTGTATTGGTGGGAGCCAGGGAGGTGGCAGGGTTATGGGTGGGGCCGTGGGCCTCCTGCGTGGTGCTGACTTTGCCTGGGTTTGTTGGTGCTGCAGGCTTGGACCATGAGCAGGCCTTCTCCAAGATCATCGTGGAGCTGCGGAAGAAGCACCCAGGCCATATCCTGCCGGACGAGGACCTGCAGTGGGTGTTTGTCAACGCAGGCGGGTGGATGGGCTCCATGTGCCTGCTCCATGCCTCGCTCACCGAGTACGTGCTGCTCTTTGGGACGGCCGTCGACACTGGGGGGCACTCGGGTAAGCAGGGCTCAGCTACATTCAAGCAGAGGTTCGGGTTGAGGGGTTGCTATTGGGTAGCCAGTGCTTGGAGCACACTTTGATCGCCAACTCGAGTGTCTTGCACCCCAGCCTCTAGTGCTGCAGGCACGACCCTAGCTCTGCAGTCTCTGGGCTCATGCTCACTGAGGATGGAGGCAGAACCTTTCCCCCAGGGCTCAGCCTGTAGAGGGCTGGAAAATCTTATCCCACCTTGTAAGCAGCGAGGTGGGAGGGAGATGCAGACTTCATAGTCCTTTGCTCTCCAGGGCAGAGGCTGAGCCACTTTCGCAATGTGTGCAGATCACACATGCTTCCAGCCCCCAGGAACTGGGCCATGAGTCAGGGACTCCGTTGTTCCCTGCATTCAGGTCCTGAGCTCATAGCTTTACCTTCAGTCGGAGAACTGTCCCAGATTTAGAAGCAACCCTTTCCCCTCCACCCTGGTTGCCCCCGCTAGGCATGAAAGCCACCTGTTTGGAAGAGGTTAAAAGAACTGGCCTAAATGTGTACTTGGTCCAAACACCCTGCACAGTCCTTAGAGGGCGGTACACCTAGGGAGCCATTGGGGATCTTGGCCTCAGTGCAGTGATGCGGGGGAAGGGGGACTTGTCCTGTGTTTCTCTGCCTTTTAACACCTTTTACACTAAAACAACCGTGGTGTTTCCTCGAATGTGTCGCCCAAACACAGCTCAGCACCCTTGGCCTCTGGCCAGAATCCCCGAGAGATCCCCACGCTCCAGAGCCAAGACAGGATTGTTCCCTGCCGTGCATCCCCTTGAGCTTTTTCTAGTCTAATAAGTGACTGAAGCAAACGGCTTCATCCCATTCCTTTTAGACCTTTGTCCTACCCCTGATAACTCTGCTCCCTCCATGGGACTCTTCCCCATCAGGCCCTTGTACATGCCTGTGGTACCTTCTCTTCTTTCCACTGCCTCCTGCCAGCTGTGGTTGGGCTGAGCTGAAAAAAATTAGCACTTCCAATCATCCCTCTTATGTCCGTAGCTCCCCAGCATGTCTGGTAAGAGGAGTGTCTCTGCCTTGTGATCCCTCTTCATTGCATCTTCAGTGGGGTGACTGGGCATCCAGGATCCCCCAGCCCAGGAATGCTGTGTAAACACACTTGCGGAAAGAAACCATGTTGAGGCCCAAAAAGGGAGCCTGTCTTGTGTCTGATTTCTCTTCTCCCCATGGGTAGTTGACTCCAGCACATGCTGTTAGCTGCTGAGCAGTGAAACCAGGACTAGTGAGAAAAGCCCAGGCCCCAGAGACCACTGGCCCAGGATGTCTGACTGCCTGTCCCTCAGATGGTCCATGCTGGGGGTATGCTGATCAGCAGAGCCCTCCTGCCTCCAAGAGCCAAAATGAGGGGGAATGCAGCTGGATCCCCAGAGAATGGAGGAGGCAGAAGCAACTCGAGACCCTTTCCCTTTAGCCTGCAGCCAGTATCTCAAGGTTGCCTCCGAGCTCCTGTTCCCTTTGATTCCCTGTGGCAAACGATCATAGTGTGACCGTTGGTGGCAGCATGCGGTTGGGTGGGCTCCTGTCCTTGGCAGAGCCCCTGGGGACACAACAAGCAGCCAGATCCAAGCTGTGGGTAGAAGGGATTTGTTCCACGAGGTTTTGGAGACCTGGATATTAAGGCCCCACTTTCCCCCATAGCAGTGCTGCGATGTCACACTGTGTGCCTCTCTTGCAGGTCGGTACTGGGCTGACATCTCTGACACCATCATCTCGGGGACCTTCAGGCAGTGGAAGGAGGGGACGACCAGAAGTGAAATCTATTATCCAGGTGCTGTTACCCAGGGTTCTTTCAATCCAAAGCTCTTGGTAACCTTATTCTGGGCCAGGTGGTGTCCGGAAATAAATCGGTGGGGACATGGCCATCTGACCGATAGGTGGCTGGCACAAACAGGACAATACAAGAGTGTTCATACTTAAAGCTATACTTTACTTAGTCTTAAGCACTTGCACACGTCCGCGACAGCTTGGTAAAACACCCCAAAAAGTTCAGGTGCATATTTACCCAGGATCTTGAGACGGTGTCGAGCTGATAACTGCAACCATCCAGTGGCCAGCCGGATGTCTGCAGGGAAGCTCGAGAGGTGTCCAGGCATTGAAGTGTCCATTGAGCTCAGTTTTCTTCCTCTTTTTATATCCAACTTGTTAGCATTACATATCTTGTTCATTAACAAAACTGTTGAGCAGAAACCAAGGTAAGGGTGGAGATTTCCAGCCTGTCAGGTGGACAATTTTCCGTCAGTCAAGCAGGAGAACTTTCCATCAGTTAACTAGCTGTATAGCAATAATTAACTACTGCCAGACTTTCCATCTTGCAAAATGGCGTGCTTCGGAAAAGCAGCTCAAGTCAGGAGGGCAGAGGGTCATGTTTACTCCTTGAGGTCACTCGCTCCACCCTCCCCTCCTGGTCTGTTAGTTGTGCTAGGGTTTCAGAAAGGCCTCCTTTTAGCTGCTTTCAGCAAGAAGTGTAGCAATTGGTATTCCAGCCGCTCGCAGTGGTTTACACATGTTACTGGGCTCTGGGCTATCAAAAATCTGCTCCTACAGTCCATGTGGCACTGTCAGCGCCAGCTCCACCCACTCGCGTTTGAAGGTCTCCCCTGGGTGGCTGCCTTTGCAGGGCTGGTTGCCGTGGGCTTTTCATGTAGTGATTTGAATGGATAAGGCTAGAGCTTTGTTAGCCCCACAGGATAGAGGGAAACGTATAGGGCACAGCAGATTAGCCTGTAGAACACCACACCTCTAGTTCTCGTGGATGCCACGAGTAGAGCAGGATTGAAGGAAAGCGTACACGCTGATGGGTAACGAGCACATCTCCATCAGGTGGGATTAAAAATAAACCTGGGGAGGGTCATAAAGCCGCCTGGTTCAGAGCAGGAGCCAGCCATTGAGTGTCAGGAGAAAACTGCCCCTTTGGGAAGGCTGTTCCTTGATTCTACACCAGGGGCATCCTTGCAACCTTCCTTGGAAGCAGCTGGTACTGGGGGAACAGGCTTCTGGATTAGCTCCCCCTCCGGCAGTTCTCCAGCAGGGCGTTGAGCACCCCCCTTGTCCCGGGCTAGGAGTGGAGGTTCATCAGGCCCACAAAGAGCTCTGTGTGCTGTCTCTGGAGACATACCGGGAGCAGCATGTTGGAACCAGTATTTTTCAGAATAACGGCCAGTGCTCTGTCTGTTTGTCTGCCTGCAGGGGACACCATAGTGCACCAGTCCGGAGAGGCCACGGCTGTCCAGTGGAGCGCCGGCACCTGGATGGTGGAGTACGGCCGTGGCTTCATCCCCTCCACGCTCATGTTCGCCTTGGCCGACACCATCTTCAGCACTCAGGACTTCGGCACCCTCTTCTGCACTCTCCGGGTTTATGCCAAAGCCTTACTCCTGGAAGCAGGTGCCTGCTTCAGCCACCTGGCCCAGTGAGACCACCCTCCCCACACACCAGCACGGCCTCACAGGAAGGGCGCCCTTTTCCCATCCCCCACCATCATGCAGATTGTACCAGAAAGGCAATGGGCAAGAGCACCTCTGCCCCTTTCCCCACGCGGGCATGCCAGGTAGGCTGACCCTTAGCTGTGTCGTCCGCCTGCCGCAGCGAGCACTCAGCCGGGGGAGAAACCGGCAATAACAGATAATGGAGAAACCTAGATCACTATTTTTTTAATATCCAAATGTTCCTCTATATTTCTGTAACGAGACTGCAGCGACGGTTGAGCTGCCACCCACGTCTGTGTGTGTCCTTGCCTTCTGTCTGCAGCTGTCTCTCGTGCTCTCTCAAAATGGCAAATGAAATTTAATATGGATAAATGTAAAGTAATGCACATTGGAGAAAATAACCCCAACTATACATACAATATGATGGGGGCTAATTTAGCTACAACTAATCAAGAAAGCGATCTTGGAGTCATCATGTATAGTTCTCTAAAGACGTCCACGCAGTGTGCAGCGGCAGTCAAAAAAGCAAACAGGATGTTAGGAATCATTCAAAAAGGGATAGAGAATAAGACGGAGGATATCTTATTGCCCTTATATAAATCCATGGTACGCCCACATCTTGAATACTGCATACAGATGTGGTCTCATCTCAAAAAAGATATACTGGCATTAGGAAAGGCTCAGAGAAGGACAACTAAAATGATTAGGGGTTTGGAACGGGGTCCCATATGAGGAGAGTTTAAAGAGGCTAGGACTTTTCAGCTTGGAAAAGAGGAGACTAAGAGGGGATATGATAGAGGTCTATAAAATCATGAGTGGTGTGAAGAAGGAAAAGTTAACCTGTGGAACTCCTTGTCTGAGGAGGTTCTGAAGGCTAGGACTATAAGAGGGTTTAAAAGAGAACTAGATAAATTCATGGAGGTTAAGTCTATTAATGGCCATTAGCCAGGATGGGTAAGGAATGGTGTCCCTAGTCTCTGTTTGTCAGAGGGTGGAGATGGATGGCAGGAGAGAGATCACTTGATCATTACCTGTTAGGTTCACTCCCTCTGGGGCACCTGGCATTGGCCACTGTCGGTGGACAGGATACTGGGCTGGATGGACCTTTGGTCTGACCCAGTGTGGCCGTTCTTATGTTCTCTGAAAACTAGGGGCCTATGAAAAACCAATTGGGGGGGGGGGGGGGTGACATGGATCATCCTGTGCATACACACTCTGGACATGAGAGAAACCATGCCCAGCAGGTGTTTGCATAGCATAGGGCCAATTCACTCGTCCCCAGCTGAACCTAGAGTAACTGCAGTGGAGTAAATGGGGGTCAGCTAGTGTGAATCTGGTGTCTAGCCTTGGAAGTGACATACGCAGGATGGGTCTAACTTCCAAACGGACAGATGCGCTCTGTATAGATTACGTAAGATACCGGTGTGTATCCTGTAATCTGTACCTAGTCTTCTATTTACTGTTTCTAATATAGAATCTGTCTGATTTAGAGTTCGCTCCAATACCCAGTGTCACTAGATGGCGTGTTCCGTTAGACGCTAGCATCAAGTACCATCTGCAGTAACATGCTGCGCTACTTGTTGAAAGGCCTGTGGGTTGTGTGTGTGTGAGAGATGTGCCCATGCAGTCTGTGTCACCCTGCCCTTGTGTCATGTTTTGGGTGTGTACAATCTGCCTCCTTTGCAAGGCCCCAATGAGGGGAGATTAGGGAAGAAGGCCAGAGGCTGGGGCAGGGGCCCTTTTCATGGTGCACATTCTCCAGAGGCCTTGTTATTGTTTGTTCCCGTGATGGGGAGAGCCACCATCCATCGCCTTAACAGACAGCCTTATTGCGGTGGCCTCCTGGGCCATGCGCGTGTCTGTACCTCCTGGTGCTGGTGCCTCAGCTGCTCGGGCACTCCGTGCCCCTAAAGGGCTCTGTGTGGGCTGAGCCCCAGGGCTGGGGAGCACATGGCAGAGCTCGAGTGGAGCCAGCCTGCCCTGTGGACTGTCTCTTGTAACCGACCTCTGATGGTTATGGGGATTTGCCCCCATAGCTGTTCCCCAGTCTGAGATACCTCATTCCTCTGTCCCATGTGGCCCTGGCTCTCTCCCTAGTTAATGTACTGACATTTGAGAAGTGGACGTTACTGAAGACTGTGGGGCAGGAAAGCAGCTGTTCCAAACCTGTGGGCTACTTTCCCCGTAGGGCCTCACAGCTGTTACTCGTGGGGGAATTCTGCGCCACTGCGCGCATGGAGAAACATGTCCCCCTGCAGACTTTTTGCTCTCCTGCGGAAAAATGGCTTCTGTGGGGAAGCAAAGAGAAGCTGCACCAGTGCTCGCTCACCGCTCCCTGGCAGTGCAGGTGTGTCTGGTCGGCCCAGAGGAAGAGGTAAGTCACTGCAGGGGGGAAGGGAAAGAGGGAGGGTCTGGTGATGCCTTAGCTGCCCAGGGACATGGGGGGGGGGGGGGGGGAGGAGGAAGGACGGAGACAGAGTTTCTCTCTCCCTTCCCTGGACGGAGCAGCTGGGGCTGGGTCAGGTCAAGGCCCAGACACCTCCCCTAGCTGCAGGCAGCTTAGATCTGCAAGAGATTTGGTGTGGGGGGTGGGGGTGGGACTGAGTGCAGGGGGTGAGGCTCAGCGGGATGGGAGTCCCAGATGCAGTGGGGGGTGAGGCGCAGCGGGCAGGTTGAGTGCAGGGGCTCCAGATGTATGGCGGTTGAGTGGAACTCCTTGTACAGTGACCCCTCCACCCACTTCCTGGCCCCATCTCTTCTCAGCCACGGGGGGAGGGGTCACTGTACGGTGAGCTGCTCCCCTGTCCACCCAAAATCTCCCCCCGTCAAACCTCACCCCCAACACATACCCATACCTGGAGTCCCCCCTGTATCTGGAGCCCACATACCCCGAAGGACCCCCCGCCCCACTGAGTGCCCCACACCCAAACCCCCATCTTCTTAAGCCTCACCCCCTGCACTCAGTCCCATCCCCACCAAACCCCACTCCCCTGCACCCCGATGCCCCACTGAGTCCTACCCCAGACACTCGCCCCCTGCTGAGCCCTAACCACCTTCACCTGGCCTCCCCTGCAGAGTTCCATTGACCCGGCACCCAAAACCCCCAAATGAGCTCCCGCACATCCAGATCCCCTCCCTGAACCAAGCTGCCCACACCAAGATTGCACCATACCCAACCTTGGTATTCTTGAAGGAATTTTGCACCAAAAATTAAAAATTCTGTGCCTACAAATTTTAAAATTCTGCAAAATGCTGCACATTTTATTTCTCAAAATAACACAATATAAGCACACCATTTTCAATTATTTTAGTAATTTATTTCCAAATTTTTGTCAGCAAATAATTGAAAATGGTGTGATTATATTGTGTTATTTTGAGAAATAAAATATGCAGAATTTTAAATTATTGTGTGCAGAATTTTTTGGCACAGAATTCCCTCAGGAGTATTTTACAAACCTTTGGTCTCTTACTACAGAGGGGTGGGCCCTGGAAACTACAGGTCCCAGCATGCAATGCAAGCAATCTAAGATGCAG